GCCTAATTAAAATGATTATAGAGACATTTACTCAACCTTGTCTTCCTGATTCACAACTTCCTGAAGGCTGTGGTTAGATTTTAGTTGAAATACTCAGGTGGTTTTTCAAAACTTTCTTCTTTAAGAATGAGAAAACCAATTATGTTATTTTAACAAAATAAGATGATCCTAGAGCCTCTATGTTAGCTTGTATGCACATATGCATGACCAGCGGACCAGACAATGGGGCGATGAGGGTCTAGGGGGTGGGGGGATATGAGCAGGCTAGAAGAGGTTAACAGGGGGATGGGGAAGATGAGGGGGGGAAAAGAGAATCTATGTAAAACTTTCAACAATAATTTTTTTTTTAAATCTCAATTTTTCTTTTCCATTGCAATCAATAGAAATCACCTTTCAAAAAAAGACAAAAGAAAGATGATAATGGCAGTCACATTTACATTTGAAGTGTTTTGTTTTGTTGTTGTTTTGTGTGGTTGACAGTTCGGTTGGAGGCAGAACAGGTTCAAGATTCTTTTTTATTATATTTCTTTATTGATTTCAGAGAGGAAGGGAGACGGAAAGAGAGATAGAACCATCAATGTTGAGAATCATTGATTGGCTGCCTCCTGCACGTCCTACTGGGGATCAAGCCTACAACCAGGCATGTGCCCTTGGCAAGAATCAAACCTGGGACCCTTCAGTCCACAGGCTGATGCTCTATCCACTGAGCAAGCTGGCTAGGACAAGCTTCATCTCTCTTTGATGCTGGTGTTTTTTGAAGGTGGGGATGCTTAGTCTCCGAGCCTCTGTTTCTCTGTCCCTAGCCCTCTGACGGTTTTGTACTATACTTAGAGCTTTACAGAAGTTCCCACTATCCAAATGTCATACATTTTCATCGTCTCACTTCCCCTCCTGTTAAAGTGGACAATCTCACTAAGAAAATACAGTTGTCATTTAGAGTGTTACTCCTTAGCACGTTTAGTTCTATACATGTACAGAGGTTATCAAGCCAGAGGAAAATGCTTATCTCTATATTTTAATTCAACACACATGTCATCCAAACCCCCATAAATAATCAGGCAAGAGCATAAGATTTCAAGAAAAAGTATTTGGATATTTATCGATTTTAGAAATTTCATTTATAACAATTATTATAAGTTTGAATTTAATGTATTTTGGTCATTTAATTTTATTATGTACAATAATCTAAATGATATCCAAATCTTTCTCTATGTCTTAGTATAATCATTTTAGCTACTTAATATTTTATGAGATTGGCACATACTATCACAAGATAATCTTTATAGAAAAACCTCAGGACGATGAAAAACATCATGTTGCTCACATAAGATTTTACATAAATAATATTCAAATATTATGACATAGTCCAGTTTACACAGTACTTTTAAAGACATTATTTGATTTGGTACAACTCCGTGAAGGTGGCTATCCCAAATTAACATATAAGGCAATGAAGACACAGAGAACTTACAGGACTTTCCTGCTCACACTATAAAAGTAACTCTGGACTCTCAGTTCTGTTCCATTGGTCTGTGTGTTTGTTTTTCTGCCAATACCATGCTGTAATGGGATATATCAAACTAAAAAGCTTCTTCTGTATAGCAAAGGAAACCACCAATGAAACAAAAAGACAACCAACCTAATGGGAGAAGATATTTGCAAACAATGGCTCTGACAAGGGGTTAATATCCAAAATATATAAAGAACTCATACAAATCAACACCAAACAAACAACCCAATTATAAAATTCACAGAGAACCTGAACAAACACTTCTCCCAAGAAGACATACAAATGGGAAACAGATATATAAAAAGATGTTCAACTTCATTAGCCATTAGGGGAATGAAAATCAAAACTATAATGAGATACCACCTAACACCTGTTAGAATAGCTATCATCAACAAGTAATAAAAAGTGTTAGAGAGATTGTGAAGAAAAAGGAACCCTCATTCACTGTTGGTGGAAATGAAAACTGGTACAGCCACTATGGAAAGCAGTATGAGGTTCCTCAAAAAATTAAGAATAGAGTTACCATATGATCCAGCAACCTCTCTTCTGAATATCTACCTGAAAAATTAGAAAATTTTTTTGCAAACACATATGCACCCTTATATACATTGCAGCATTACTCATGGTGGCCAAAACATGGAAATAAACTGAAGTTTCTTTCAATAGATGATTAGATAAAGAAGAGGTGGTAGATATATGCAATGGAATTCTATTCAACCATAAGAAAAGATGAAATACTGCCTTTGAGACAACATGTATGGACTTTGAGAAATAAGTCAGACAGAAAACACTAAGGACCATATGATTTTGCTCATATCTGGGTTACAAAACTGAAAACAACAAATAAACAAATAAGAAAAAATAAACAAAAACTCATACACACCCCCAGTAGTATGGTGCTTACCAGAGGGAAGGGGGTGGGAGGTAGTAAAGAGTGAAAGGGTTTAAATATGTGGTGATGGAAGATGATTTTACTTTGGTTGGTGCACACGATACAGATCATGTATCATAGAGATGCACACTTGAAACCTATATGACCTTATTAACCAGTCACTCCAATAAATTTAATTTAAAAAAAGTAAAGGCTTTGATTCTAAACTGAGTTTTGAAAAAAGGCCCCTCCACCATCTCCATCATACCTCACTGGCTGCAAGAGTACTAAATTCTACAGACTGTAGAAGCCAAACCCAAAGGGAATGTGTAAACAGGAGGTGCTAAGAGGTCCTCGAGTCAAATCAGCACTCTCTCCCCTCTCCCAGCTACTTGTTCTCTTGGGGCTGTCCTTCTGCTTCTGGAAAATGTATGGGTACATTGATTCATCCACCAATGAAACATTTATATAGCACTTATGATGTGTCATTCACTTTCTGAGCCACAAAAAAATACAGCCATAAACAAGACAGACTCACCTTCTGCCTGATAGACCTGAAATATCTAGTGGTGAGGATGAAAATGTATCAGGCAATTCCACCAGGGTGGTAAGTGCAGAGATGAGCAGTCCAGGGTGCTAAATGAAAACTATGAGAGAGGGGCACTGACCCTGACAGTAGGGTTGGAGGAAATAGTCTGAGTGGTCTGAGCGGAGACATAAACACTGAGAAGGCATAAGTCAACTAAAATAGTGAGTTGGGAAAAGAAGGAAGAGGGAACCACATGTGCAAAGACCCAGAGGCTAGGGATATTGTGATGAATTTGAGGAACTGGAAGTTTAGTATGGTTGAATTAGGAAAGCTGAGATCATTACCAGTCACAAAAAGAAATCTGGACTTTATCCTGACAATAAAAGGAGCCAAAAAGAGTTATAAACAGGGGACTGTTATATAAAATCAAGGAAACTGTTGAAGTAATCTAACTGAATGATAATAGGGTGGTCTAACTAGGTAGTGACAGGGGAAAAGTATGAAAGTGGATGCAAGTGAGCCTTAGAATGTAGACTCATAGACCTGATAATTGATTGGATGTGGATGGTAAGAGAAAAGGAGAAGAATCAAAGTATAATTACAATAGGATGAGGGTTCCCAAGTTCTTCAGCCTAGAGTGCCTGCAGGGAAGTAAGGCATTGGCCAGATATATGGAGTATACAGATCATTAAAATACACAATATAGATTATGAACCCTGAGAAAGAAGACACCTACTAAGAAGGGCTTCTGGTGGCTAATAGGCTCAAATTTTACAACAGAGTCTAGCAGCCATTTCCATACAAGGGCCTCTCACACAAACTGCACTGCAGGGAGAAGTACAGGCACTGAGCTGCCTGCCTCTGCACTGAACTGCCTGCTTGCACTGTATTTTTGCATTCAGGGCCAGCCCTTATTTAAAAAGTTTCTGGAATCTTATTTCAGCCAATAGAGGCTTGGTACACAACATTCATGCACTGTGGGGTGAGGGGTGGGAGAGTGTTTTGAGAGGAAGGAGGTCCCTCATCCTGGTCTGTGCCCTCTTGCAGTCTGGGACCCCTTGGGGGATGTCTCCCTGCTGGCTTCGACCCACTCCCTACACTGTCCTTAGCACTGCCTTGGAGGTGCTTGCCAGCTGTGAGTCCGGTTTCTGACTAAGTGGCACTCCCCTTGTGAGAGCACACTGGCCACCAGGGGCAGCTCTATGGTGAGCATCTGCCTCCTTGTGGTCAATGCACATCATAGCAACTGGTTGTTCTACCATTTGGTCGATTTGCATATTAGCCTTTTATTATATAGGACTGAAGCTTTCCCCAACAAATTGGAGCTATGCAGCTCTGACCAACCAGAGTGGCCCTATTCTGCCCAAGTAGGACAGTGCCTTTGGATCAATCAAACTGCAAGGATGTGGCATCCTCATTTGCATGAGGACAGACCAATCAGAGACTAGGAGTGGAGACTTCTGTCCTTATAAGCCAGATCCTCTGTGGCTCTGAAAGTGTACTTTATCTTTCCACCAAAGACTGAAGTTGGGTAGAAACCGAATTAGCCAGCACAAACCAAAGCACAGAGGAGCAGACTAGCAAGGAGCAGAGCAGAGCTGTCTAGCTGGAGAGAGGCCTGGCTCCAGGGCTGCCTCAGAGCCCTGCTATTCTCACAGCAGTGCTATATCACTGCTGAGCCCTTTTGCACTGAATAAAGTCTCCTTCTTCACTGCACCCCAAATTTGGGATTCCTGTTGGAACTGAATTGGTGCCAATAGCCATCAGTTGACAAGATCCATGCAATTTGTCTTAAAGGACCCTCAGAGGGTGGACACAGCCAAGGGACAGGAAGACAAAGGAAGGGTTTCATTGGGCACAAACGCGTGGAGGGACTAATAAAGACATCTTCACAAAGTCTGAAGCCAACTTTTAATATTCAAAGTAGTCGCATCTTCCTTTCTGTGAAGCTAGCATAACCATTAGCCACTTAACTTACTCAGCTAACTAGCCTGTGAAGCCAGGCAGTCAAAGAAAAAGGTAAGATATACAAAGCATGGCATGACAGGGGAAAATGGATGCTTTTTCACAGAATTCACATCAATGGCTTATTAGAATATGTCCTCTTCTTGGTTGTAGGACATGTCTGACTCCACACCACCAATGCCTTCATAACTGTAGTCTCTATCACTTGAGGTCACATCACTTTTGCTCTTCTTTCTTTTCAATGGCTTTCCTCCCTGCAGGTCCCATGGCTCAAACATGGCAGAACTCACAGGGTTAAGTCCTTTGGCAAATGGAACTTCAGCCCCACCTGGGTCAGCTGAATCGGAATGATTGGCAGGGGGCAAAAGTCGGTCACTCCGTAGTCTCTTTCTCATTTCTTCTTCTTTTGTCTGAAAGGCAGAATTGAAGAATGAAAAAGAGGCCAAATAATGTCCTCTTTGTTTTCATTAATATTGCCTGTAGTTAACATTTATGGCTTCCCAATTTCATTATCCAGTTATTTAATAAATCCATGCTAAGGAATTACTGTTGAAGAAGACAGACACACTCCCTACCCTCATGGAGCTTCTAGTCCAGTCAGAAAGGCCCAGCAAAGAGATGGACATGAAGACTGTGGGAGGGATATGGGGGCCCTTGTGCAGGGGCTGCAGGAGCTCTGAGAAGGTTTGTCAGGCCTCCTCTTCCCTCCCTCCTCCATCCCCACACCTCCCCTCACCCCTTAGCACCAACTAAAGGTTTTCTTTTATCATATGAAGAGAAGTCCACACTTAGTTCTGAGAATTGGATATTGCTTCCTTAGATGAAACCAACCATTTTCAAGACATTGCCTTATGTCTTCGCCACACACGAGAACAATTAAACATACAGCGTAAGAAGCATGCAGATAAGGAAGATGATATGAATCCACACAATTTGGCTAAGCGCCGCTGAGAGGAAAGGCTCATCTCAGCGGGCAGCACCGCCCCGCCCCAGCCCAGGTACCTTCCTGCGTTCAGCCACCGCCTGCATCTTCTCCTCTATGTCCTTCATTGTGAAATCTGCTACTTCCTTTCTGACCTTGAGTTTTTTCAGCCTGGCGGGTGGCTTTCTCAGTGGCTTCTCAACCGTGTTCACCTGGAGGAAGACACTTTTTAAAATGGAGAATCTCATTGGCAAAGAGAGGCCGAAGGTAAAATAAACCCAGTTTAAAATGTGAAACCTAAACATCTAAACTTTACAGTGTCCAACTAAAAAAAGCAACATGAAAACTGGTAACAATAAACCTGAGTCCTAAAGAAAAAAAAAATCCAGTGGTGCCTAAAAAAACAACAGTTTATTACCAAAAAAACATAGAAGAGTGCATTAATATTCTGAAGTTGGTGAGGACTCAGGAGAAGGAAAAAAACAAAACAAACCTTGAGAACAAACACAAGATAGAAAAAGGTAGTGGATGAGTAATGAATTTGTGATGCAAGGTATAAAGTTAAACCCCATGATTTTATAATATGCATAAACAACAAATGACTTTCATTTGGGATGGAGATTAGTTTCCAGTACTTCTGGTCATGGGGAGGGGAGAATTAACCATTACTGGGCAGCAACTCTGTGCTGGGCTTTGATGTTGGTACTTTACAACAGTCACATTGACAGCAGAAAAAAACCATCCATCTATACTAATAAAAGGGTAATATGCTAATTAGACCAGATAGACCGGACAACCTTCCTGACAAAGCCAGGGGCATGGCTGGCCTGCAAAATGCCCACAGCCCCTTGCCCAGTCCTTCCTGCCCCCCAGTGAGTACTCCCACCTTGATTGGGGGCATGGCTTGCCTGAAAACTGCTGGTGGCCCCTCACCCCGGCTGGCCCCATCCCCAGCGGGATCTCCTACCCTGATCCAGGACCCCCTTCAGGGCAGACCAACTGGTCTCCACCAGTGCACCAGGCCTCAAACCTATATAATCCTATATAATAAAAGGATAATATGCAAATTGACCCTAACCGTTGGACCAGTCATCTCTTGGTCCCTTTCCCCAGCTGGCAAGCTCCAATTGCCTGATGGCCACCTGTGGTGGGGGTGGGGCTGGTGAGCTGGTGGGAACAGCTGTCCTCTCCGTCTCTTCCCCCAGCTGTCAGGCACTGATTACCCGATGGTGAAAGGGGAACCGGGGGTGGGTGGCAGTGGGGCGCAGGGCCAGTGATGGGCAGCTGGTGAAGATGGCTCTAATCACAGGCCCTGGGCCTAGGGACCATAACTGCACTTGAATTTCATGCACCCGGACTGTTGTTTCATAGGAATGACAAAACTTTAAACAGTTCAAAGCAGTAATAATGGCTTTCCAATGATAATTTCTAGCTTCAAATAAAGTCACATTGTTGTAAAGAGTTTATAAAGAAAGTTTTCACATTTATTCTTTTAAAAATTGGGTTAAAATAACATACATTAATTATAAAAAATTTAAATGATACATAAATAATCTCCTAATACTCTGCTTGTCCATGTGGCCTCTGATCATGTACATCTGTAATGTTTAGTCAGCCATAAATGGGATTATATGCTCTGCAATTTGCCTTCCTCACTTAATATGGATGTCTTTTTAGCTCACTATATATGGATTTATTAAGAGTGAGGGAGTTCTTAATGAACTCCAAGGTTTCATTATAAAGTGAACTGAATAGATAATTTCTCTAAAGATGTTTAAAGACAAAAGAGATATTGACATCCATTATAATATTTAAAAGACTGTCTTGTCAGACTGCAATACTATGAGTATCGAGAAAATGAATCTAAGAGAGACAATTTAGCATAGCAGAAAAGGCACCAGAAAGACCCGGGTTTGAATCCTAGCTCAGCCATGGTGTGGCTTGGCATTAAATTCTGTAACGCTTGCCTTGCTCATTTGTAAAATAGGTTTAATAATACTTTTTCATGGGGTTATTTTTTTTAAGGAGGGGAGGAGAAGAAGATCTTAGCCACTCAGTAAATAGAAATTATTTTTGCCTGCCAGGGTTGTTCAGTGGTTGAATGTTAGGGCACATGCGGGCTCAATCCCTAGTGTGGGGCATGCAAGAGGCAGACCATCAATGATTCTCTCTCATCATTGATGTTTCTCTCTCTCTCCCTCTCTCAGAAATTAATAAAAATATATTTTTTAAAAGTGCAATTTACTTTTCATTTGATGAAAACAGTGATTTCTTTCCCTCTCCCCCTCCCCCTGCCCCATCACATGGAATCATAACCAAGATGTAGCGTTTGTCACAATAGGGAGGAATGAGAGTTGGAATCGCGGGGCCAACAGGCAAGGGGCTGGGCTTTAACCCCTGGCCTACCACTAATACTTACTGTGCGGCCTGAAACAAGACACCTTCATTCTTTGTGCTCAGTTTTCTCAAATGCAAAAATAATGAGGGGGCTGGGATGGCTAAGCTTCCTTCCAGCTTTAAGATTTATGATTCTCAGAAAGCCTTTTAAAGGGGAAATATTTCTCTAAGTTTTGGCTCGGTTACAGCCTTGAGAAGTTTTATGTGGTGAGTGGTTCATTACAAATAACTGGGACGGTCCTAGCTGGCTTGCTCAGTGGTTGGAGCATTGGCCTGCAGACTGAGGGTCAAGGGTTTGATTCCAGCCAAGGGCACATACCTCAGTCCCCCTCATGTGGGAGACAACCAGTCAATGTGTCTCTCTCACATTGATATTTCTCTCTCTCTCTCTCTGTCTCTTCCCCTCCCTTCTCTCTCTCTCTCAAAAAAAAAAAAAAAAAAAAAAAAAGGCAAAAAAAACCCAATGGTAAAAATATCCTCAGATGAGACCTAACAAAACAAAAGAACAAACAAAAGGGCAGATTAAAAAAATTGGAATATTTGTCAAAGGAACTTCCCCTTCCCCATTACTGTATTATTTTTATGACAATAGTTTGTGGGTTTCTTACTGGCAAAAGCCATAGGTTGAAAAAGGGACCTATTTGCTAGGGAAGTTCACCTAGAGATACCATGAAGTCAGTATGAAAACAGGTTTTGTGGAGAGTTCCGTCATAGAGGCTAAAAGAACATGAGATGGTAAAGGAAGGACCCTATGAAGGAAGCTTACATAGGAGTCTGAACCTTGGCTAAAAAAATCAGATCAGGAGTTCTGAGGGAATTTAGGATTTCCTGTGTGGGTGGGCTTTTCCTGTGCCTCTATTCCAAAATGATGCAGATAAAATCATGTACTTCCTCCCCATTTTGGAAGTTAATCCTACCTGTGCAGCCCAAGACCTTTTCTGAGTTGACATTTTAAGTGAAAGTATTGAAAGAACTGAGGAAAAATATCTGTATTCTTTACCACTGAATGTGAGGAAGTCAGAATTTATCAACTGTTGGCACTTAAAAATGACAACAAAGATCACACTATACTTAGAGAGTTGTTTCCCATAGAAACAATTTAAAAAATCAACTTCAAAACATATAGAGCCCTGCCTGCTGTGGCTCAGTTGGTTGAGCATCCTCCCAGGCACGGAGAGGTCACAGGTTTGATTCCTGGTCAAGGCACATGTCTGGATTGCAGGCTCCATCCCCAGTAGAGGCATGTAGGAGGCAGCCCATTGATGTTTCTCTCTCATTGATGTTTTTCTCTCTCCATGACCCACTCTTTCTCTCTTTAAAAAACAATAAAAAATGCATTTAAAAAAATCCCTATAAAGGTTACTAGTTTCATAATTTTAAGAACACCATTGGAGGACTGCCATGTTCTAAGATGCTGTGATAAGATTTGGGTCTTTTCCCCAGCCAATAAGCTGTATAATATTACTTCTTGCATCCACTGTGTATTCCTCAGAGCTTCCTTAATTAACTATTGACCTACAGATGAACCTACCTTGGCTATGGCCCCGCACTGGAGCCTTGTGCATAAAATAGGCCAAAGCTTCTGGAAAGAGATGTATCATTCCTGCTCTGTCACTGCTAGGCCTCCTGGGGAAGGCCAGTCTGAGCTGTAACTGGCATTATTGGTCTTTACCCAGTGACTTCCTCCTCAACAAAGTCCCCCTGAGGTTCAGCAAATAATGTTAGAGACTGATGCAATGTGGACAAACACCCTAATTGCACTAAAGGTTACCAAGTAAAGAAGTTGCTGAGAAGGGAATAAATTCTGACCAGGGACAGGAAGAGTTGATAGAAAATTCAGAATCTTATGTAGGAGACTCAGGGCACCCTAAGAGATAGGGAGAAAAAAGTATGGGATGAAAAACACCTAAAGTGGTTAATAGCTATGTGAATAAATGAGAACCAATCACATCTCTCTAAAGACATACATCCCAATCCATACACATCTATAATAATAAAAGCATAATATTCTAATCAGACCAGATGTACTTCCGGACGACCTTCCAGATGAAGCTGGGGCTGCAAGGGAAGCCTGGGTCCTGGGTGCTAGAGGGAAGCTGGTGCCGGCAGCTGGGGGAAGGAAGGCCTGCTCTTGCACAAAGTTCGTGCATCGGGTCTCTAGTATTTACATGTGAGCATAACACCAACACACATAATACAACCAGTTATGTCTCATTAGAATGTTTTAAAATATACTGATTCACTTAGTCTGATATTTAGTTTCTAAATATTATATTTCTTACATATCATTATATTTTGTCTGAGTGAACATCTATTAGTATGAATATACCTGAAAGCAGATTATCCAGAGGGCAATATGGAATTTCTGTAATAGTTGCTAACAAGCAAAAGATGAAAATTAAGAAAGAAAAAAAAGGCCAAAAGGGGCTCTGTGGTGGGTTTCTGGAGAGACTGGCTCACAGGGGAGTCCCTGGATTCAGAAGATAGACAAAGGACCCTCATTTTCAGCATCTTTATTATATGTTACTCTAAATGATAACTTAATTAAAGATAACCTGGCTTTGTCTAAAATGCCCTTGTATTTAAGTATATTATTGGTGTATATAAGTCTTGTTTCTAAAAGTATTCTCATATCTATTACTCTTCCCCCCAGCCCCATAATATTTAAAAAGTTTTTTTAAGCAATAAAGAAATAGTGTTTACATGTCTGACTGGATTTATCACATCACCGTAACTGAAGACATTAACACCCTTTTGTTTCCCTTCACTCTGGTTTGTTTTTTAGCCAATTTTTATCATTTGTTTCCCACCCTCCCTAAAAATATTATTAAATATTAGATACTTAAAAGTATTAGCTATCTAATAATATTTCTATCCTTAATATGGTTCCCCTTTCAGTCCTTCAAGTTTAACTCTCATCTTTTCTCAGTGGCCTTATACCTTACCTTAAACTAGACAAGGCACCTGGTGCCTGACACACTTCTGTTCTTAACTACACATGAACTGGAGATTTTCCCTTGACAATGAGCAATTATATCTCTCCTTCATTTTCATATGCTTCCTGAGTATAATCTTAAGGTTATAACTGCTAATATGTTATATTGTTAGGAATACTTCAGAATTCTCTTCACAGTGACTGGGGGATTTCAATTTCAAAAGCTTCAACCCTGCCGAAACCGGTTTGGCTCAGTGGATAGAGCATCAGCCTGCAGACTGGAAGGTCCCAGGTTTGATTCCGGTCAAGGTTCTATGTACCTTGGTTGCGGGCACATCCCCAGTGGGGTGTGTGCAGGAGGTGGCTAATCGATGTCTCTCTCTCATCGATGTTTCTAACTCTCTATCCCTCTCTCTTCCTCTCTATAAAAAAATCAATAAAATATATTAAAAAATAAAAATTAAAAAAAAAGCTTCAACCCTTCCCAGCTCTAGGATGAAGTGGGAGGATGTGTGCATGTTTGTTGAAACTGCAGGGCAGTGGTTCTCAGCCTGGGCTGCCCATGGGAATCCCTGGAGCTTCCAGCCCAGCCACTGGTCCCAGGTGGAGCCTGGGCACTGGGATTTTGAAAGCTTCCTTGGTGGTTTGAGTGTGCAGCCAGGTTAAGAATCACTACACTAGGCAATAAAAGGTCAGGTAGGGATTACTGCCGGCATGTTGTAAATCTCAGGTCAGGGCTTCTTGGCCCAATTCCAAAGCAAAATCAAAACAAAACACGCCCCCCCCCAACAAAAACAAAAACAAAAACAAAACCCACTACACACATACACACACACACACACACACACACACACACACACACACGAGCTGTATTATTCTTGCCTATCTCTGCAGTCCTGTCACATTTAAATCCTGAGAACACTCCAGTTATGCTCCTGACAACCATTCCATCTCTATAGAATATGAAAACAGCCTTCATCATTGGCTCACTTAATGATGTTTTTGCAAGTCAAGTGAATAGTTTTTTTTTTTTTTTAAAGAGACACCTTTTCATGATATGGCTCATTTTAATTAACTCTGTTGGTGCCTTTGCAAGGTCTGAGTCTGAACTCATTCATCTCTGGCGTTTGAATCACTAGAAAATGTTTTAATGCTATTCCTGTTGATATTGACATCAAAGTTCCATAGCATTTCCCTTAAGAAGGCGTCACTTAGCTACTCAACATTTCCATAGTCCTTCAGCCTCCAGATTGCTCTCCTGTCTTTTTCTTTTAACACACCTTCATTTTTTTCTCACCCCCACCCTCGAGTCTCATCTACAGCTAGAAAAAAATCTGTCCTCTCTTTCTGTAATAAAGATGCATTGTTTTTGGTACTTTCAAACAAGGTACTCCAAAATTGGATTGTGCTACTGTACAAATGCAAATTGTCATTATGTTGACATTATATTTTCCATTTTATGGTTCACTTTTACCTTCCCCTTACCCATATCTTCTTGTTATTGACAGCGATAATATAATTTGTAAGGTTTAGCAATCTCTTTATTCCCCCCACCTCCCTCAAATACTTTGTACAGGGCTTATTTTTCTTCTTCAAAAGAAAATGCCACTTTAGATTTTATTCATGAGTACTCAGCATTTCCTAAACGGAAGAGAAAATTACCTTCATTCAAACACTTAGTGACTTGGCCTAGGTGCAAACTCTATTTAAATAATGTGTCTTTTTATTCCCAGCTGACTGTTTTCCCTACAACACATGCCATTGATATCATTTCTGGACTCCATTGTCACCATTTCTGTCTCTTTTTTTTTCTTTCCCATCCATCCTCCCCTCCCCCCACTCCTCAGGCTTCTTTTCTTTGTTATTTCTTCTTTTATCTTCTTTCTTTTGCCTATGCATTAGGATTATTGGTGCTGCCTCAGTGCATTGGTTTATAAAACAAACAAAGGAGAAAACAAAACAAAATAAAAAAGCATCAACAAAACCTGTTATCTTCTTCACAAATTTGCACAGAACTTATTAAAAAATTAAGCCACAATAAGTTAAAATCAGAATAAATATATTATTCACATTAAGGGAAAAACAATGATAGATTAGTCAAGATGAATCAACAAAGAGAAATAAGAGGAAACCCTTTTCTATAACTGCATTTTCTCGTATTTGACACTTTAGACTGTGTATATAAATATATAGCTTATCTGGTTTAGCTTTGGTATTAAGGCTTATTTTCTTATTGGATAAGTCAGAAGTCAGTTTTATATTCACAGTTCCTAGTGCATAGGCAATGCTTAATAAAAATTGCTGAAAGGATGAGGCATGCTATTCAATGGGGCTTACTGTGCCTCAAATTTAGTAAAACCCAAGGTATGCTTTATTGAACTCATCAAACATTAATGATTAGGGCAATTCTGAATCCATAGTGAAGGAGAGTGTGCAGAAAGGTGAGAGAATTTATGGGAGAAAAAACTGGCTTAGATGAATGCTGTCTGTACTGTGACTATAAGATGCAAATACTGGAAATAACTTGTGATCAATCATATTCTATTGTTATTTTTAACTATAAGCTAAAGTTCATTATAAAATTACTTGCCATGACATCGTATGATTCTCCATTTCTAGATACTCTGCTGTGGCTTTGTATTATTCCTTGAACAATTAATTCCTCCAGGATGTCTGATGACTTTTGTCGCTCTCGATTCTCTAGGGGTTGCAGTTTATGGATTAATCCATTGGTTGTTAAGTCTTCCAAGGGGGGAAATAAAAGCAAAATTTAAGCTTGAAGAGATTAGCAATCAAATACTAATGAATGCCATACAAGTCATGCTACTTAATTAAATCTTACACTCAACACTCTTAGCTAAATATTTATTTATATTATAAATCTTGGAATCCTTTGAAGTTCAAACTCTTACTGTTCTAACAGCGGATACACATCAACATAATATACTGTTTACTGAGCAGACCCCATATACACATAACAAAAAGTCTTTCATGTGCTGCTATGTACAAGCTTTTTGTTGTAACAACACTTGTACATTTGGTACAGCTACATGGGTTCGCTGCACTAATTATGAAGCTAAGCCATAGCTAAGAATGGGATGTTCTTTGGTGACTCTTCTGAGCTGCAGTTGGTTTCTATGCTTTGTATACAGAAAATAAACAGCACGGTGTCGCCAAGAGACTTCTAATTCTGCAACTCTGAGTTTACCATTACACCATGCTGCTAAGTCTACATGCCTTTTTGAAAAGAGTCTTTGAACTTCACCAGAATTGGAGTTAAGTGGTATCAGCTAAATTTTTATTAGTAATTCTAAAAATGGCACTGAAACAGTTTATAGGGGAGCTTTTATGAACTTTGGGGGAGACAACCCCCATTACAAATCACTCAATTACAGAAATAAACAAGCAAGGATCCAATTTTACAACTTCACATTGTAAAACAAACACGCAAAAGGAGTCTTCAGAAATGAGCTATCTTCTATTTTGTAACCATCAGGAAGTCTGGATAGTAACCAAGTCCATTCACCTAGTGCAGTGATTCTCAACCTTCCTCGACCCTTTAATACAGTTCCTCATGTTGTGGTGACCCCCAACCATAAAATTATTTTCGTTGCTACTTCATCACCGTAATTTTGCTACTGTTATGAACCATAATGTAAATATCTGTGTTTTCCGATGGTCTTAGGTGACCCTGCTAGCAGTTCTCAACCTGTGGGTCATTACCCACAGGTTGAGGACTGCTGCTGTAGAGCAGCAGTTCTAGTGGATGGAATCCTTTCATGAAAATGTCTAACCTGGGACTACATTAAGTACTTTCTTTGTTTTAAAACATATAAATCAAACATCAACTCTATATGAGAGATATTATTAACTGTATTTAAAAAAAAAACTGATATGAGAGAGATTAATTAACTTGCTCAAGGTGACCAGAATAGTAAATAAATTAACTAGGATTTAACTCAAGTCTGTTTGACTTCATCAGTCATGTTCTTTACCATCTCACTGTACTCTTTCCAAACATGCCAAGTACACAGCTCCCATTTGTCACGGTTCCCTTCTCTTTCAGCATTTTTCTAAAAAGAATGTCATTGTGGACACCTGTCACTAACACAATGAAATTATCTTAATCATTTCAGTCCATTCTTTTCTGAATCCACTGAAGTATTTGGCTTGACATTTATAGTCGTTAACCTATACAGAAATCCTTGGACTCTGTCAAGTCATTCTGACCAGTTTTCATTATTTCTTGGGATACTGAAGAATTTTGAGGAAATATTTAAAAATAGCATTGTACTTCCTTGTGATTATAAAAATAATACATCATAAAATTTAAAAGTGTAGAAAAGAATAAAAAAAGATAACAAAAATGTCCATTCTGTCACCATTCAGAGATCACAATTATTAATATATAAAATTTTAGTTTTAGAAATATGCCATCACACATTGTGTTTCCTATGCAGTGGAACATTTACATTAGCATTTTCTCTATCCACTAGAAATTCTTCATGAACATGAGTATAAAAAGTGAAGCCACAGAAGAAAACAGCAGAAACAGGTTTGGCTCAGTGGATAGAGTGTTGGTCTGCAGACTGAGGGGTCCCAGGTTCGATTCTGGTTAAGGGCATGTACATTGGTTGCAGGCACATCCCCTGTAGGGGGTGTGCAAGAGGCAGCTGATCAATGTCTCTCTCTCATCAATGTTTCTAGCTCTCTATCCCTCTCCCTTTCCCTCTGTAAAAAATCAATCAAATATATTTTTTTAAAGAGAAAGAAAGAAAGAAAGAAAGAAAGAAAGAAAGAAAGAAAGAAAGGAAGGAAGGAAGGAAGGAAGGAAGGAAGGAAGGAAGGAAGGAAGAAAAGAAAAGAAAAGAAAAGAAAAGAAAAGAAAAGAAAAGAAAAGAAAAGAAAAGAAAAGAAAAGAAAAGAAAAGAAAAGAAAAGAAAAGAAAAGAAAAGAAAATATGGGCAAATTTGTTTTTGACCTTGATGTAAGGAAAGGCTTTCTAACTGACTCAAAATCCAGATTCAGTAAAAGAAAAGACTGATGAATTTTACAGCATTAAAATTTTTGAAGGGCCTCCAAACATACAACCTACAAAAAAAGTAAATACAGATATCACATACCTCCTGATTAGATGTACTAGCAGGATACAATATAATTTTTTCTAAAAATATATTCTATTGATTTTTTTACAGAGAGGAAGGAAGATGGATAGAAAGCTAGAAACATCGATGAAAGAGGAACATCGATCAGCTGCCTCCTGCACACCCCCCACTGGAGATGTGCCCACAACCAAGGTATATGCCCCTGACAGGAATCGAATCCGGGACCCTTGAGTCCACACACTGACACTCTATCCACTGTGCCAAACCAGTTTCTGCTATAATTTTTGACATTCTTGTTAAAAATGCATAACCTGGACTTAATCATGAGGAAATACATAAGACAAACACAAACTGAGGACATTCTACAAAATAAATGGTCTCTATCTCCAAATATATCAGGGTTTTAAAAGACAAAGAAAAGCAAAGGGATTGTTCCAGAATAAAGGAGACTAAAACAACATGACAACTAAATTAAACATGTGATTCTGAATTATCTCTTGAACCAGACACGTATAAAGAAGGTTTGTAAGACAATTGACAAATCTGAGTATGGTCTGTAGATGAGATAGCAGTGCTGTGCCAATGGCAGTTTCCTGACTCAGAACCTTGTACTGGGATTTTGCAAAGAATGTCTTTGTTTTTAGGAAATACTTGTTGGTGTATTTATGAGTAAATTATCTTAAGTCTGTAACTTACTCTCAGAAAAAATACACTTGTAATTGAGATGAGGAGAGAGGGAAGAAGGAACGGAGGGCAGAGAGGACTATGAAAGCACAAATGTGTTACAATGTTAACATTTGTGGGATTTGGATGAAAGAATATAGGCATTCTTTGTTTTCTGAAGCTTTTCTTGTATCTGAAATTATTCAAAATAACAAAGTGTTTCCTCCCCACCATGGGAAATACTTGGGAAATATTAGTGTGAAACTTGAAATTTTTGCCCTGGCAGGTTTCTTAGTGGTTAGAGCATCTGACCACAGACCAAAGGCTCACCAAATGGATGATTCCTGGTCAAGGGCACTACCTCAATTGCAGGTTTGATCCCCAGCCCCAGTTGGGGCTCATATAGAAGGCAAGCAATCTTTCTCTCTCTCTCTCCCTCTCGCTCGCTCGCTCTCTCTCTTTCTCTCTCCCTCCCTCACTCCCTTCCACTCTCTAAAAATCAATAGAAAAAATATCCTTGGGTGAGGATTAAAAATATTTTTTTTTCAAGAAATTTTTAACAAATATACCCTGTAGATATGAAGAGCAGGGATGCAGAAAACAGAGGGTTGTGTGTAGGAGAGAGGGGATTGGGTAGAGAATGAATATAAAACTTAGAGCAACAGCATGGATGGAACTGGAGAGCATTATGCTAAGTGAAATAAGCCAGGCAGAGAAAGATAAATATCACATGACCTCACTCATTTGTGGATTATAATGAACAACATAAACTGATGAACAAAAGCAGATCCAGAGACAGAGAAACATAGATCAGTACGTCAAACCTTAGGGAAGGCAGGGGAGGGTGGGGGAAAGGGGGAGAGATCAACCAAAGGACTTGTATGCATACATATAAGCCTAACCAATGGACACAGACAACAGGGGAGTAAGGGCATGAATGGGGGGTGGAGGGTAATGGGGGAATAAGGACACATATATAATACCTTAATCAATAAAGAAATTAAAAAATAAAGCTTAGGACACAGTTCCTACTCATTTTGTGGTAAGAGCTTTCTTGAGACCTAATTTATGCTACATTTTGGAAACATCTGCTTTGTAAGTTCACGCCCTCTCCACGCGGGTCCCTTGTGGCACTGTCCTGATCTCCTGTGGTCCTCCCAATCCTGCTTCAACAGTGTAGGGCTGGCAGGCTGGCTGTTCTAGGCCACATCCAGGTTCCTGTTAACCTCCAGTCTGTTAACACCATAGATACTGAGCATCCATGTTGCAGTGTAGGAGGGATTTTCAGAGAAAAAAAAATACATGCTGAATTTTCAGAGAGAAAAAAAATATGTGCTGGTGCATGCCCCAGCGGTGGGGGGTGGGGTGGGGGAAGATGGGGGTGCCTGGTTGGGGGTGGTGATGAGTGTGGTGGGGAAGGGCTGTCCCTACACTGCATCCCCTGTCTCTGACCAAATTGAGGGCAAATGCGAAATTTGTAATAACCTGAATGTCCACGAAGTCCAAGAAAAAGAATCTCATTTATATCCTACCTATTTTCTAATTCTAACTTGTACCAAGGGAAGAATCTGTAGCAATGAAAAATGAAATGAAAGCTTTCACCCCAAATAAAAGAGAGTGCTTTTCTTTGAGGCCTGTTAAGTTCAATTTGTTTCAAAGGCTGATAAAATATAAATAAGAGCTCTCATCTCAGCATCAGGGGGTAACTGAAGTAAAGTGAAAACACGCCGTAAGAAAAATATTTAGAAACAAACTGTTTCAAAGGGCACACGAGGTCATAATTACTTCTTTATATGTTGAAAGGTTCTTTCATTGTAGATTTGCTGGTACTTTGGATGGGGAGAGACAGAGGAAACAGCTGATGCAGGTTTTATTTATTTTTTCAAATGTAGTACTTTCCCTTGAAAAAGTGGTAGCACAGTGCAGTTTAAAAGAATTTAACCAAAGCTCATGCAACTTCTATTCCTAAGGCCTATTACCAACCACCGTTAAGCCTTTTAGTTAATGGGGAAAAAAGAGGGCTTAATTACTCCCTGACTGGAAGATTCATGGCTACCATTATTTATTCACATAATGGAGATTTCAGGCTAAATTCTAATGTCTTAGAGAGGGGAACCTTAGCATTTAGAGCACTCCCTGACCCACAATGTTGTGGTGAAGGGGCCACCAAACACAGACTATGAGATATGTTTAGAGAAACAGTATTTTATGGAGATTAACATGAATGGGGGCTTTTACCTAAATTTATTCCTCTGTTCCTTCCAGTAGGAGATGGGGGACTTTCTGGAATGGTTCCGGGTAAGCTTTCCAACTGGACCTGTTTCTCCAGGCCTTCGGGGTCACCCACCGTGTCCTTGTGCAGGGCAGCCTCACGCTGGGGTCTGCAGTCCTCCCCAGAAGGAGCCACACCCACATCGGCCTGGGAAAACGGGAAAAGGGGAAAAGGGAATCGTTTTGTGAGAGTCAAGATTTCTTAGAAAATGGTTTCTTGGAAAACGAAAACAATGTAGCAAGACTTGATTTGTGGATGTTCAATTAACTAGTATCTGTGGGTATCCTTAAGTACACAGTGCCCTGCAGATGCTACCTTAAACGGCATGATATGATTAAATTAGACCTTGGGATGGCAAGATTATCCTGGGTTGTCCAGGTGGACTCAAAATGTAACCACCAGGTCCTTATAAGAGATCTGACTATGGAGGAGAAGGTGATGTGACGACGGAAGCAGAGAACATGTTACAAAGTGCTGTGGGCCGGGCCATAAAGGTGGGAAGGGCCACTAGGCAAAGGATGTAGGGATGCAGCCCTAGAGGCTGGAAGAGGCAGGGGAAGGTTCCCTCCTCAGAGCCTCTGAAAAAAACCAGCCTGCCAACCTCCTGACTTTAGCAAGTAGAACTGATTTTGTGCTTCTGACCTCCGATACAGGGGCATGATGGGCACCACTGCATTGTTCGAGGGTCAACTGTAATATCTAATATGAATCGATCAGGTACAAGTTGTTATGTTGGACATTCTGAAAGATACAAAAAGTAACAAATTCATAAGTGTCAAATATGAAAAGTAAAGATATTTCTGTGAAAAATTTTTAAAAATGAAACTAGCTTTATTGTTTTTGTTGATTAAAAAAGTATTATAGCCCTAGCCAGGTAGCTCAGTAGGTTGTAGCATCCTCTTGATTCACCAAGATCATAGGTTCCATCTTCGATTAGGGCACATACAAGAATCAATCAATAAATGCAGAAATAAAGGGAACAACAAATGTCTCTCTTCTTCTCTCTTTTTCTAAAAAACAATAAAATAAAATAAAAAAGTAATATAGTTATAAGAGTAATTGATAACATTTAATGGTAGAAAGTAATCATTTATCTGATTGCATTGTAGTACATTAGGTAACTACTAGAGGCCTGGTGCATGGGTTGTGTGTGTCCCTCAGCCCAGCCTTCACCCTCTCCAATCTGGGATGTCAGACTGCCCGATTGGGCCTAAAGGAGCAGTCAGACATCCCTATCACAATCCAGGCCTGCTGGTTCCCAACTGCTTGCCTGCCTGCCTGCCTGATTGCCTCTAACCATTCCTGCCTGCCAGCCAGATCAACCCCTAACCACTCCCCTGCCAGCTTTATTGATGCCTAACTGCTCCCCTGCCAGACTGTTTGCCCTCAACTTCCCTCCTCTGCCGGCCTGGTTACCCCTAACTGCCCTTTTCTTCTGGCCTGGTTGCTCCTAACTTCCCTCCCCTGCCAGCATGGTTGCTCCAAACTTCCCTCCCCTACCGGCCCGGTTGTCCCCAACTGCTCTCCCCTGCAGGCCTAGTCCCTCCCCAACTGTCCTACTCTACAGGCCTTTTCCCTACCAACTGCCTTTCCCTGCAGGCCTGGTTCCCCCTAACTGCCCTCCCCTATTGGCCTAGGTCCCCTTCAACTGTCTTCTGCTGCTGGCCTGGTCACCCCCAACTGCCCTCCCTTGCAGGCCTGATCCCCTTTTACTGTCCTTTCCTGCAGACCTGGTCACCCCCAACTGCCCTCCCCTCCAGGCCTGGTCCCTCCCAACTGCCCTTCCCTGCTTGCCTGATCACCCACAACTGCACTCCCCTGCCGACCATTTTGTGGCAGCTATCTTCTGTTCACATGGGGGCAGCCATCTTGAGTGTTGAGGTGATGGCCAATTTGCATATTACCTCTTTATTATATAGGATATCATAATGTACTTAACTAAATCCTACTGAAGGACACCTAGGTTGTTTCTAACGAACAGTGATGCCATATCTGTGCATATGTAACAGCCTGAATTCACCCAATCATCCCATGAGGATAAACTCCTAGATGTGGACATGCCAGATCAAATAATATACACATTTTATATCAATACATGTTTCCAGAAGGCCCTCCATAAACCCTGTGCTGATTTACAGTCCCACCTTCTCCTTTTAAGGATGCCTATTTCTTCCTACCACAGTTCCTCTGCTTGTAAATAGGTCAGAGCACAGTGTGAAAGGGGCTAACTGTGATTTAGCACACCACTGATTCCCAAGTGCTGGTTGGTATCAAGTGTTTCATAGCTCTACAGCGAAGGAAGAAAAATAAGAGAAATGCTCAATTAATTCAATTTAAAGAAATGGAATTTATTTTTAGAAGAGGCATATTTTAAACACTGAATCTGTTCAGGAAAACACTTCTCATATTTCCTCTAACACTGTGACCCCTCTCTCCCAGTGCTGGCTTTTCTTGTATTGCTTGGTTTGCAACTTCCCCACTTCTCATGTAATAAAAGCTTTTAGTTGTTATCAGCCAACGTATTCTCTCATCTAAGACACATACTGAAGGGAGGAAGTCTCTTCATTAACCTAAGATGAAACAGGAAAATAAACACCTTCTATAGAATAGTGTCTTCTGGTTATTCTTTCTCTCAATGATTTCACTTTTGAGCCAAGGGCTGTTCTCCTCCTCCCCCGAGTCTTCAAAGGGCCTCAGGATCCGCCCTCCAACCCCTGCCCTCTGTAGCATAACCCTATTATACGGACACAAGTCTGTACCTGTTTGGCTGTAGCTGAAGGTGTTAAAGGGGAGAATGCTTAAATTGGGTTTTCATGAATGGATTTCTAGAGAGCAAAGAGGAAAGGTCACTTTAGACAGAAGAAAAAGAACACACAAAGTCAGGGCATGAAGCACTATTGTGTGTCCACTCTAGCAGAAACAGATTGAAGTAGAAAGTGGTAGGTGCTGAAGTGTGGAAGGGAAATCTTTTGTGACGAGTAAAGGAATTTGATTTTATTTTGAGTGCAAGAGTGATCCCTTGCAGGGCTGTCATGTAGGAAAGGAAAATAAATGATCACTTGTGTTTTATAGAAAGCTCACTCTTTAGTTAGTGCAACGGCAAGAATTGAAGGATGGAAGAAACAAAACTGGAAAGCCAGTACAACTACTATTAACCATGTGAGATTTGATTAAATACCAGCTAAGACAGTGCCAGTAAAAATGGGGACAGTAGGTGGGCTCAGAAATATTAGAAAGGTAGGTGATAGGCCTCTATGGGCTCAGTGTGAAGGCAGGAGGTCCCTTTTGGCTCTAAATTAGGAACTAAACAGAAAACATTCCTCTTTAAAACAGGGAGAGTAAATAAGCAGCAGCTGCCAGGCTGGGAGGAGCCAGGCCTGGAGGGGCCGGGCCCGGAGCAGCCGGGTTGGGTGCGGCCAGGCCCGGAGCAGCGGCTGCCAGGCTGGGAGTGGCCAGGCCCGGGGGAGCAGCAGCCAAGCCCGGAGCAACCAGGTCGGGAGCGGCAGTGGCCAGACCCAGAGCAGCTGGTTGTGGAACGGACTAGAGCAACAGAGGCCAGGCCCGGAACAGCTCACTCCTCGCCTGCCCCCGCCCCAAGGCTGCCTCTCAGACATGGCTGGGAACTTTTGTGGGAACTTGAGGGTCTGATGAATCAAGTGATGAAGGCTTAGATCTGAATATGTTGAGTTATTATAGTATAGGGCTGGGGTGTTGATCTGTGAGTGCCTTGTGCAGGGCCTGGATGAGGTTGGTTGACCTATTTGGAAATGTCTTTTGTGTGAAGTGTATCTTTGGGAATGTGGAGGTATTATTGATATGAGAAAATGCTAAGTAACTGATTTACTATCTGAAAAGGGATTTACTGTCGGGGAAAGGGAGGGAGGAAGAGACTGAACATAAACTGTGCATCTATGGATGAGGACAATGAGGGAGGGAAAGGGGGAGGAGGGTGGGGTGGGAACCCGGTGGAGGGGGGAAGAAATGAGGAACCTTTGTAATAATATGAACAATAAAGATTGATTAAAAAAAAAAAAAAAAGCAAGGACACTGGCATAAAACTTGGTATTTCTACAATAAAAATCAAACAACATTTTTTAAACGTTTGACCACTGTCTAGAAGTACTCCAACATTCGAAGCATCTCAGAGGCTACGTAGGAATCAAAAGGTTCTGGCCGCCCCATCACCCTCAGGTCCTTACAGTTCAGAGAGGGGATTCTCTCTGTTGATAGGGAGACTCACAGATCCTACCACCCTGTTTACATAACATGATCACTCCAGCTAAGCCAACATTAGTTTGTCGTGTTGAGGATTAATGAGTTCTGTGGCTCAGAACTGCATGGGAAGATAGGAAAAACCAACCAACTGAACAAACAAAGTAAGCAAACAAAAGCTCTACAGATCTGAAATATTAATTGGCACCAGAAGAAAGCCTGAGAGCAGCTATGTACTTTCTCTCTCTTTGTCTGTCTATCTTTATAGTTGCTGCCATGCAGTCCCTGTAGAGTAAGGCCACTCAGGAAAATGAGGGGGAAGAGGGCGGCTTTTTCAGCAGGAGGAGATGCTCTTGGCAGACAAAAACACATAATCCCTATATTTGGATTGATAGCCAGCCATATGCACTATACTGCCAAACTGGTCATTAAAAAATTGAATCACTTTCTTACACCTTACACCAAATAGCTGTTTCCCTTAAAATCTCTCCTCAGCCCCAACCTTAGGTTCTGCCTTCATAGTTCGCCCTGATTTGGTTCTGATTGGTTGGTTTCTATGCCAGTCAGTGTCAAAAGCTCCGCCTCCTAGGCAGCCATTGGCTCCTTGCACTTCACCCAGACTTGGTTCTGATTGGTTGGTTTCTATTGCCAGGCAGCATCTCTGGGTCTATCTCCAGGCCTGATCATAAAGGCAGGGCTGATTAGCAGCTGCCCCAGGCTGCTGGAGATTGGCTGAACTGCTGACCTCTGGGAGAGAGAGAGGGTTGGCTGCTAGCGAGGCCGGACACCCTGCTATTTTCTTCCAGCCTCATCAGCAGCCACTGCCACTGCTGATCAGCCCTGCCCCTCTCTTTCTTCAAGTGGTCAGCAGATCAGCCCACTTGTCTGCTGCATGCGCAGCCTGGCGTTTGGTGGAGCCTCCAGTCTTTGTGGAA